AGCACAAGTTTCACCTTAGTCCTACTGCCAATTTTTGAAGACAAAGAACTTTTTATATATTTTTTGGTGGCTGGCCAGTATGGGGATCCAAACTCTTGACCTTGATGTTATAAAAACACTGTGCTCTAATGAACTGAGCTAACTGGCCAGCCCAAGAACAGAACTCTTGACCCTGGATGGAGAAAACAGAGAGGGTTGGGGGGCCTATGTATCTGAATAGTAGGACTGTTCACCTTTTCCGTGTTTCTTCATTAAGTCAATCCAAAACCAACTGCATTACTACCTCATGACTAAGATCATGAAACAGACACAGTCTGACTTTGGAAATTATGAGGATAAAAAGAAAGGCATTTTATAAGCTGCAATGAACAATATAAGTCAATTATACTTTACTGGAATATTATTAGTGTTTAGTCTCTGGATAATTATTTGTACTATCTGAGAACACACAGAAAATGATCTGAGGTTTTCATCTCACCAATCTTATTTGAGGGGCAAATACAGTTAGCCACATCCAAAATTGAATTACTTCCAGGACAAAGTGAGACAATAGTATATGACACGAATAGGAAGCTTTCAAGCAATGAGAATAAAAATAATGCTTCATTTTACAGAATTGTTGATTCCACAGTTCAGTTTGGCCCCAACTCCCCTGCATCTTTTATTATTAACACTATCTCAGAAAAGAGAAGGGGATCTGCAAGGTAACACTAGAACATTCGGCTAAGAATCCATAGGCCTAGGCAATCTCAATTTTAGTCCCTGTTGTCAAGCCACTTTACCTTTCTGAGCCTTTGGTTTACATCTATAAGTGAGAATAATAACTGTCTCATAAACTTTGGGGGTGGGGGGGCAGCTGTCATAAACATCTTGAGAGAATTATGTATATGAAAGTATGATGAAAATAGTATTGTATAACATGCTTCCCCCACCTGTTTGTTCTCAATATTCAAATTAATTCTATGCAAATAAGCCAGACAGCCTTTTAAATTAAACACACATATATACTCACACAAATATATTACCCACTTCATGAAAGAATTTAATCTTGGTCAAATATTTTTCAGTTCATCTAATTAGAAGGAAGAGATCTGCTTTTCTTTTTTTTTTTATATTCTCTAAGAAGCAAGAGCAGTTTGCTTTTCCATACTCAAGTAACAAATGTTAAAACTAAGTGAAGCCTTAATGGCTGCATTTTATTTATAGTGCTTGTACAGCAATGGAAAACAGCATACCTAGGTAAAGAACTCCTTTGAAAAAAATACTCTGGCTATCAAACGTTTTCCACGTTTGGTAAGACCTGAAAGCACAAAGCCAAAAATCATACCCAAGTTAAACCACTGCTGAAGTCATATAATAAAAGACTTTACCGTAATTAATGCAAAAGCAAGTTGATACTATTTACTTCTTTCAATCTGTAGATGGAAACATACCAGACCAGTTATACAGATGTACTACTGCAACTGACTATAGATGTGTGCCTGAGACAAAACTGCATTCACTCGCCAAATTTTTAAATAATCAACAAATTATGATCCCCAAAATAACAAGGCACACACAACCCTGACTTTGACATAAACCTTAATCACATCCTAAAAACATTTTTTAACAAGTCAATAACATAAAAACCATGTTCACCCATGTTTATAAATACACACTTGGATTCTCTCAATTTTGAACACCTACCACTATTAATTGTTGGTGGGATACCATAACAATGGCCTCAGGATTTTTTAATCACAATGTCCTTTTATGGTATACTTCTATCTTTTCTATTTAACTTTAAAAACTTCATTCAAATCAGGCATCTTCAGGTGGGTAGAAGGAAGGCATTTATATTATCATTCTTTCTTAATTAAAGAAATTACCAACTACAGGCTGAGTATCCCTCATCCAAAATACTTGGGGCCATAAGTGTTTCAGATTTCAGATTTGGGAATATTTGCAGAAGCTGGTTGCACATACCTAATCCAAAAATCTGAAATGCTCCTTTGAGCATCATGTCAGCACTAAAAATTTCAGATTTGGGTGCATTTCGGATTTTGGATTTTCAGATTAAGGATGCTCAACCTGTACTACCAAATAGTTATCTCTACCAAGTATCTTTTTTCTTTTTTCTGATGGCCAGTACAGGGATCAAACCCTGAACCTTGGTGTTCTAAGCACCACGCAAACCAGCCAGCCTCCCTTTTTTCTTTCTTTATTTTTTTTTAAGTATTATTATTATACTAATGAAAAAAATTTTACCCTCAATATTTTCAAAATTACTATTTGGAAAGCAATCACACTAAAGAACACACTAGGCACACCAAGTGCCACTGGCCACACAAATATTAATGAAAAGAAAATTTTTGTTTTACTAGGAAGAGTTGTACGAAAGATATCAAGTCATGCATCCCACATACCTAACAAACTGTCTTCAAATTAATTCAGTTGGGAAGGTTAATATAATTTCAAAAGTTGAAATACAAGTTAAAAACAGTATGAAAGCTGTGTGATGAAATCCACCAAAAAGGATCCATTCCATGGAAACTTTTATATAATACCTAGCTTCAAATATCATTTCCATCTTTTTGGCTCTCAGAACTATATAATCTGAATACACTGAGTGAGCAATGGAAATCTAAGAATAAGCTGATTAACCTCACTACATCTTAGTTTTACAAAGATGTGGAAAACAATGAACACTGGATCCATTAAGCTTCGGCCACCCAACCTTAGCATCCAACAGTCTTCTATAGTTACCAATACAAACCCTTTATTTACTTCCATGGTCCATCACCTACTCATTTCCATGGGTGTTCAATATGTAAACACAAAATACTACTTTTAATGTACCTGTATAACCTTGGAAGATAAGAAACGTTCAAACATATTTTAGCTCTATTTTATAGATAGGAAAATGAGAACCAAGCAAAGTGGTAGTCCCAAAATCAGTCACAATTACTTACTTAAGGCATAGAAAGAGGACTAGTGTCCAGGTCTAACTGGCAATACAGTGGTCTTCCAATTACATCATTACCTCTCTTTCAATTTTTTCTTCACAAAAGGCTAGTTATGTAGACAACTATTGATTCAAAGTCTTTTATAAACAACTGAACCCTGAAAGTCAGTAAAATCATCATTTATAGCACTTAGAAATAAAGACCTGGCAATATACACTAAATAATTTTAAAGGCCCATTTCTAAACCTTAAAAATAAATACCAACCTCATTTGATATGAGAGAATTAAGAGTCAAGAAACAGAAGAATCAATACACTGATATCATGACAATTCAGCTCCAACTAGTAGTTGAGTTCTGTTCAGGTTTGGAATAAATCAATCTAAATTTGACTTAAATTTCAACTGTTCACAGAAGTTTCTTTAAAAGCCTGTCTTGGTGGGGCCGGCCCGGTGGCGCACTGCTACAGTGCCCCGCTTGGGAAGTGTGGCGGCGCTCCCGCCGAGGGTTCGGATCCCACATACAGACCGGCCACTCACTGGCTGAGCGGGGGCAGCACCGAGGGTTGCGATCCCGTTGCCAGTCCCCGTCCGGTACGGGCGCGACACTGAGGGTTGCGATCCGTTGCCGGTCACGAAAAAAGACAAAAAAATAAAAAATAAAAGCCTGTCTTGGGAACCTATACATCAAACTCATGAACCTAATTTTCACAACAAACCACAAACGAGTCAGTAAAATAGCTTTCCAATAATTCTTTTCACTAATACAAAATGCTAATATGATATTCCACAATTCTATACTCAAATGATATTTGCAAAATTAATTTTGAAAAGGGAAGTTAGAATGTTCATAGTGGAGTAAAGTACATTTTGTGTACTTTAGAAAACAATTACAATACTCAAAAAGTTCATGGAAAGATTCATATTATCTTTTAAGTCTATTTTTCCACGAACTTTCGTTGGTACTCTCGTATAACACAGCTAATAGCAAACTACTTGTTTCCCCAATCCCTAGGGAAAAACTAAACGGAATTAAGTAATATAAAATGCAAAATTTAGTTCATTAAGTAGACTACGACATTTCATTTTCAACACCTGTGAGATCAAACACTAAAATGTCTGGAATACAGTAAAAGCTCAATCGACAGTTATTATCACCACTACTAGTTGCAGTCACAAAAACAAGTAACTTCCAGCAAACAGCAAGGATACAAAATTTGCCGCTCTTCCAGTTTGCTACTCATTTTAAATATAAATGGCAAAATGCCAAGTGTGTTAAGCTTAGAGAAGGGTTTCACACTACCCACTTTGAGTTAACATATAAATCAGATTAAACTGACACTCAATTTCCAATCCAAAAGTTCCTTATGTACTATGACTCACCAAATTCTCCTTTTCTTCCAACTACGAAAAATATGTTAAACTTCCTTATAACTGCCACCATGACCTTCATAGATATTACGTTAGAAATTCATTCTAAAATTCTCAAAGAACACCTTTTAAAAACGTCTCTGGAGAAGACCTCTTGATGAGTTCAACACAAACCACGCAGGATGGTTCTAAAGCTGTATGACCTTTAGATCGGTTCTGAGATCTGGCCGACAAGATTGCCTTTGGGAAATTCTCTGGACAGCCTTAGACCTATTAGGCCTCAGAAGTGAAAAGCCTCCTACCCATCTGACCGTAGAGACCCAGACCCCATTCCCCGGCAGCAGAACCAAAGCCCTCTTACCCAATCTCACCACCGTCCCCGACTCCCACCTACAGGACCTCGGCTCCCCCTGCCACCCCGCCTGGCGCCGAGGCCGGGAGGCTCTGAAGCGCCGGAGTCTGGTGAACGGCGCCATTTTAGGCGGCGGTAGCGGCGACAACCAATCCCTGCACAGGAGGCAGGGGGCGCCGGGTCGTTCGGGAGCCGCCGCCGGACCGGCCGGGCGCTGGACTGGAGGTTCGGGGGGCCCGGGCCGGCGGCCTCCGCCATGTTGCACCCTCCCGACGGCCGCCTCCTTCTCGGCGGGCTCGGCCCCGCGGCGGCTCCCGCAGTAGAGTGCAGCTCACCTTCTCGCAGAGGCTCTTGACCTGGGACTCGGACAGCTGCTTGCACTCGTTCAGCTGCTCGATCCACTGATCCAGTTCCTTGGTGAACACCTTCTCGTCCATGATGCCACCCGCCCGAACCGGCTGCCGCTCTGCGCTGCTCCCGCGCCGCCGCCCGCACACGGGCCTCACGCACACGAAGCCGCCGGTTCCCGGGGTACTTCTGTGGTCACTGGCGGCTGCCCGGCGCTAGCGCTAACCGGCTCACTCTCCGCAGCGCTCGGCCGCCGGCCGCTGAGCCTACCCCGCTCGCTCTAGCTCCGGAGCTCGACTCTGTAATGGCGGCCGCCCGGCGTGGTGACGTCACTCCCGCGTCAGGAGGCGGCGGGGAGCGGAGGGGGAAAAGGGCTGAGACATGAGTTGCGCAATTGCAGAGCACACCCCGTTCAGGCGCACGACCGGCGTCGGGGCGGAAACCAGAGGCCGAAGCGCAGGCGCAGTGTAGCCTGCTGGTAACTAAGGGGCTTTAGCTTTTAGGGCGTGGTCTCCCAGAAGGAAGGGGTGGCGGGACAGGGGGCAGAACGGAGTCCGAGCAAGCGCAGTGTTCGCAGCGACGATCGGGGCTAACCCCCCGAGAACTACGCCCCGCGAGGCGCCTGCGCGGAAGCAGAGCAGGCGCAGTCTAGGTAGGGCGGCTCTGCTGGACTCCTGAAGTTGGTTCCCTTGGGAAGGTAGCCTGGGTGGTACGCCCCTGCCCTTCACCTGGGGACTGGCAGCCCCATCACGGGAACAAGAATTCCTACCGCTTGGCTCCTCCACAGTGCAACGGCGCTGAAATTACGTGGGAATCCCGCATCATTTGGAGCAGAAACGGGCGCCGAGTGGCAGCCTTGTTCAAGTGACCAGCCCCGCGTCTGGGCGCGGCCTGCACCTTGTAATTAGGTCGTTCGTAGGCTGAAGTGGGAGTACATGCTGGGGGAGTGCCGCGCAGTGCCCCTGACTGCGGGCGTACACCTGTCCCCGTCCTAGGTGTCTCGTCCGGCTCGATGACGGTGGCGAGGCTTGGGCTTTTCTCTGGGCCGCTGACCGCACCTCGCTTCCACGTGCCCTGCGCGGCCTCGCCCGTCGTCGCCTTATGCCCCAGGTGTGCGCTTTCCCCCGAGTCCGATTCCCCCTGGGATTTAGAGACCCACACTCCCCTCCACCCCCGCCAGCCCTGGCGCACTTTCTAGAGGGGACGCCCGAGTGAGATAGACGCACCAGTCCAGACAGCGTCTGGGTGGTGGTAGAAGCGGCTACCATCCGCGCTTTAAAGAAAGCTTGGATTCCCTGGGGTCGGACCTCAGACTGGTTCTGAATCTCTTTCGAGTTTGCGAAACGTTTTCACATTCCATTGTCCCTGCATTTACAGAAATATTTAGCTCTGTAGAGCGCCAATCATGTGCCAGAGCCTATGCCTGGGGGGATAGAGGAGTCACCCAAATAGACAAGGGACCTGCCCTGGTGGAGCTTGTATTCTTCCAACAGTAGTGGCTGAAAATGGTTTGGGATAGGCAGAAGCGAAATAATGTTGCCCCCAGGATCTGAGAGACATAGAAGTTTCCAAAGGTAATTTAACCATAAAGGGAAAGGCAAGAGCTGAACCTGGTCGCCTGTCTTCTAGGATCCCTACCCTCAGTCGCAGTCAACCCTGCCTGCCACACCCAAGGGCTCAGCACTGGAGGAGAGCGCTCACTCCGCGGCCCTGAGAGCACCATCCCGACCAACAGACTGAAGAAAGTCCTGGAGGCCCCATCAGCCCATGGAGGGACTGAAAATCCTCCTTCATCCAAGACAACCTGCTTGGCGAGGCAGACTGGCTTGGCCTCCCCAAGCTGGAAATTGCACTTCTGCTTTCCTTTCGTACCACCCACGAGTGTACCCAGAAGAAAGTACCTCAGATCTACTTCTCCGGAAGGCTTATCACATACTTAATTTACCAGAGTGGGAAAAAGTCTTTTTATCCCAAATTCTGACCCTGTTTTGCAGTTAACATCCTGAAATAATAGAGGAGTAGGAGTTGAGACCATGTAGATGACGGAAAAGACTATCACTTGGTGTCCCTGATTATAAAGCCATGCCCGGAGTATATCTTATCTTATTCTTCACCATTTCCCTCTACGGGTGTGACAACTGGTCCTGTCTGGTGGGGCAAGAAGCAGGCAGGCACCCGGAAAGAAAACAGTATTAGTCAGGATTTAAAACTTAATACTCCTAAGGGCAAGGGCTCAGCCATAGTCACACAGCTAATCTTCCAATAACTGAAATATGGAACACGGTCAATACGTATAATTTCCCTTTGCCTGAGTTCTCTTACCTGGAAAGTGGTGGTTAGTTTGGTAGATTAAAAAGTGTTGAACACCCAGTAGGTGCTAATATTATATTTTTGTTTTTTGTGTTTTTTTCTTTTTTTCTTTTTTCTTTTAGTTTTTTGTGCTAAGATTATAATAAGTAGGGTTTTCCAAAGTACTGTGAGCTCCTTGTCAGTAGCATTAATGAAGGTGTTATTTATTTTCTCTTGATACAGATTACTAGGCTCACCACCACCACAAAAGGAGGGATGATATAATTATATGTACTTAAAACACCATGCCAAATAATTAGATGCCATGACTTAACTTCTTAAGGAATGAATTCTAGGAAGCTCTTATTAGCATTCAGGCAGTGAAGGAAAGCATACATGATTATAAATAATACAGAACTAAATTAATCAGAATATCTTTTCCTTTATAAGAAATCCAGAATGTTTTCTTATTCTGTAGAACCCAAAATAGCCAATGGATATGAAAATTTAGGTTGATTAATCTGGTCTTTACTAATTTGACCTGACTCAATTCTAGAGCTGAGGAATCCTTGGAACAAAAATTTAAAAAAAAAAAAAAAAAAGAATTGTCCTTTTAATTTTTTGGCAAAAACCAGAGAGTGAAGAATGTAAATAAGCTTTGAGAATGAATCTTTATTCAGATGGCAAATTCGGTGGACAGCAAGTCTGAGTGTTGCCCATGATGTTTAAACATAGCTATAAATAAAAATCATCTGATGATGGGGGTGGGGTAGGAGGAGGATAACGTTCAGTAAATAGCTTTATAATAGGCACTCTTAGCCAAGATATGAAAATTGACATTAAACATGGAGAAGGAACGAGATGTATCTTATTTGTCAGCAATTCTCTTGGCCTTATGTTAAGTTTATTTTGTTATCGTTGCTCCTTTCACTTCCCTGACTCTAAATTTACTGAGACAGAAAGTAGAGCAGTGTAAATTAAGAAATGTTTCTGGAGTCAGATGGACCTGGGTTTGAATCTTGGCTCTGCAACTGCCCAGCTGTGTGAAGTTTGGCAAGTTACCTAGCTTTTCTGAGTCTTGATTTTCTCATCTATAAAATGGGAATAATCGTAATAGCCAAATAATAAGGTTCTTCTAAGAAATGAGATTATAAATGTAAAACACCAAAACAGTATGTAATGTATGTAATATCCAATAAATGTTAGATATTATTATTAAATGGAGTCTGACTTTATTTTGTTTATTTATTTATTTATTTATTTTTTGTCTTTTTTTTGAGACCGGCAGCACCGCGCTCAGCCAGTGAGCGCTGTGAGGGCACCGGTCATCCCTATATAGGATCCGAACCCGCGGCGGGAGCGCTCCGGAGCAGCTCTCCCGAGTGCGCCGCGGGCTCGGCCCTATTTATTTATTTTTAAAGATGACTGGTAAGGGGATCTTAACCCTTGTTTTTTTTTTTTGACTGGTAAGGAGATCGTAACTCCTGGCTCGGTGTTGTCTGCACCACGCTCAGCCAGTGAGCGCACCAGCCATCCCTATATAGGATCAGAACCCGCGACCTCGGCGCTATCAGTGCCGCACTCTCCCGAGTGAGCCACGGGCCAGCCCTGGAGTCTGACTTTAAATACTCTCTGGGTCTAATGCCAGTCCCCTAATGCCTGCCATGAAATGCACAGTGGTATTTGGAAACAGAACATAGGGGTATCAAAAACATCGTGTAGAGACAAAGCCATTGGACAAAGTGGAGATGGAAGAGGAAATTCAAGGAAGGAGAGGTAAAGATGGAACAAAAAGGACACTCCAAAGATGGAACAAAAAGGACATAAAGATGGAACAAAAAGGACACTCCCTTTCCCTTGCCATCAAGCAGACATTTGGAAGACTTGCTGTGTAGAGAGCAAGTCACTTAGAAATAAATTCAAGAATTAGGGCCGGCCTGTGGCGCACTTGGGAGAGTGTGTTGCTGATAACACCAAGGCCACAGGTTCGGATCCCTATATCAGGAAGGCCGGTTAGCTCAGTTGGGAAGAGTGTGGTGTTGACAACACCAAGTCTAGGGTTAAGATCCCCTTACTAGTCATCTTTTTTAAAGCCATGCCTGGAGTCGGTCAGACTCATGCTTCTGTCTGCTCAGAATCTCAGAATCTTATATCTGAAAAGGGTGCCATACCTGAAAAAGATAACATGCTCTTTGCACCTAGGCCTTCCGTGCCCCAGAATAAAGTCCTGAGCAGTCGCCATCTTAATGGCTGTGCCCACGAAAAGCCTGCCATGCTCTGGCCAACTGGGCCTACCCAACTTCCAGAAGATTTCTATATTCAGCATACATAATGATGCCTGCAATTCATTGGTAACTATATTCCTCTCTCATAGTATTCAGAAAAAATAAGCTATATTGCCCTTTCACCCAGAATTAGAATTTTATACATGTGGCCAAAATTTTATGACCAGGAACTTTGCCACAGATATCACACAGCCCTTTCCCCCAGCTATTGCAGTTTGGCTAAAGAAATAAGAGAGAGAAATGACTATGTCCCCTGGTAATGCCCACGATGTCTAGATAGCATTCTCAATTACAGAAGAAAATATCTTTCTGTTACAGGAAAAAAAAATCTCAGAAATAGAAGGCAAAGTTCGTCATTCCAGAAGGCTGAATACTGTCACCAACTCTGCAGCTATTAAAAATCCTATCATGGGGCCGGCCCGTGGCTCACTCGGGAGAGTGCAGTGCTGATAACACCAAGGCCCCGGGTTCGGATCCCATATAGGGATGACCGGTTGGCTCGCTGGCTGAGCGTGGTGCTGACAACACCAAGTCAAGGGTTAGGATCCCCTAACCGGTCATGTTTTTTAAAAAAAAAAATAATAATAATAAAATAAAAATCCTATCATGAAGTATGTCTATTGACATAGAATATTATTCATAATATATTAAGTGCAAATAGTAACTTATAGAACAGTATGTATGATATAACCCCAATTTAATTAAACATATACTAGAAATATATGTAT